AGGCTTGTGTGCGGCTGCTCTGCCACGGAAACCTCTAGAAGGGCAGAAATTTTACGAACTGACTTGTTGGAAAGGTGGTATCGTATGATGGTGCCATGCTGAAAGTCACTGAGCTCTTCAGTAAGGCCATTCTACTGCCAGTGTTTGTCTATGGAGATTGCATGGCCGTGTGCTTGATTTTATACACCTGTCAGCAACGGGTGTGGCTGAAATAGGCGAATCCACTAATTTGAAGGGGTGTCCACATACTTTTCTATATACACTACCAGTCAAAAGTTTGGACACACCTACTCATTCAAGGGTTTTTCTTTATTTTTGTAGAATAATAGTGACGACATCAAAACTATGAAATAACACATATGGAATCATGTAGTAACCAAAAAAGTGTTAAACAAATCAAAATATATTTTATATTTGAGATTCTTCAAATAGCCATCCTTTGCCTTGATGACAGCTTTGCACACTCTTGGCATTCTCTCAATCAATTTCACCTGGAATACTTTTCAAACAGTCTTGAAGGAGTTCCCACATATGCTGAGCACTTGTTGGCTGCTTTTCCTTCACTCTGCAGTCCGACTCATCCCAAACCATCTCAATTTGGTTGAGGTCGGGGGATTGTGGAGGCCAGGTCATCTGATGCAGCACTCCATCACTCTCCTTCTTGGTAAAATAGCCCTGACACAGCCTGGAGGTGTGTTGGGTCATAGTCCTGTTGAAAAACAAATTATAGTCCCACTAAGCCCAAACTAGATGGGATGGCGTATCGCTGCAGAATGCTGTGGTAGCCATGCTGGTTAAGTGTGCCTTGAAATCTTAATAAATCACAGACAGTGTCACCAGCAAAGCACCCCCACACCATAACACGTCCTCCTCCATGCTTTATGGTGGGAAATACACAAAGCACCTCACAAAGACACTGGGGTTGGAACCAAAAATCTAAAAATTTGGGCTGCAATTTCTGAGGCTGGTAACTCTAATTAACTTATCCACTGCAGCAGAGGTAACTCTGGGTCTTCCATTCCTGTGGCGGTCCTCATGAGAGCCAGTTTCATCATAGCGCTTGATGTTTTTTGCGACTGCACTTGAAGAAACTTTCAAAGTTCTTGAAATTTTCCGTATTGACTGACCTTCATGTCTTAAAGTAATGGACTGTTGTTTCTCTTTGCTTATTTGAACTGTTATTGCCATAAAATGGACTTGGTCTTTTACCAAATAGGCCTCTGTAGCTCAGCTGGTAGAGCATGGCGTTTGTAACGCCAAGGTAGTGGGTTCGATCCCCGGGACCACCCATACACAAAAATGTATGCACGCATGACTGTAAGTCGCTTTGGATAAAAGCGTCTGCTAAATGGCATAATATTATTATTATTATTATTATCTTCTGTATACCCCCCCTACCTTGTCACATCAGAACTGATTGGCTCAAACACATTAAGAAGGAACGAAATACCATAAATTAACTTTTTTAGAAGGTACACCTGTTAATTGAAATGCATTCCAGGTGACTACCTCATGAAGCTGGTTGAGAGAATGCCAAGAGTGTGCAAAGCTGTCATCAAGGCAAAGGGTGGCTATTTGAAGAATCTCAAATATACCAGTCAAAATATTTGTTTAACACTTTTTTGGTTACTACATGATTCCATATTTTTTATTTCATAGTTTTGATGTCTTCACTATTATTCTACAATATAGAAAATAGCAAAAATAAAGAAATACCCCTGAATGAGTATCCCTCCTGTAGCTCAGTTGGTAGAGCATGGTGCTTGCAATGCCAGGGTTGTGGGTTCGATTCCCAAGGGGGGGCCAGTATGAAAAATGTATGCACTCACTAACTGTAAGTTGCTCTGAATAAGAGCGTCTGCTAAATGACTAAAATGTAAATGTGTTCTAAAATGTTTGACCTGTAGTGTATAAGAACAGTGCATTAGTGTGTTGGACAACTCCTGACATATTCCAGTGAGTATGTCATGTTGGACAGCAGCCATACCCTTGAAAGACAGAGGGACATATTATTATTCTGATGGGTCACCATTAATTCACCACCAAAACACAGATAGCTTTTTCCACCTTAGATGCCTTTCGGTTGAATCCCTGTTTTGAATTATTCAACGGGCTGGGTCACTCAAGCACAAAGGGAAAAAAGTCTGCTCTCTTGTTGTGTTACTGTTAAAGTAAATGTCATTCTTTCTGACATGCTTTTACACAGTCAGGTAAAGCAATGTTTAGAAATTAAAAAGGACTTGATATTTGGTGATAAATGGATAAACAGTAGGATAATTATTCACAACATATTTGGGGATGACACTGGCTCAGTTGTTAGTTTGTCTCAGACAGACTCTTCTAGACCTCTATTCATCTGGGAGAACTCAGAGAGGCTGAGGGATTAGTACTGCTTTAATTACAGCATTTACATATTAATGACCTCTTCATTTTTGGGGTGTCTCGCCCGATGATGAAATATTTTTAATTAATTCCTAAGTAAATGCAATATCACAGCCATAAAGTATCAGAATATGAAGTGACTTTTATCTACTGGGGCTTTGCCCTGGGCTAGTCATTTCAGCTGTGGGATATGTCCTATAGATGGGGTAAAAATCTAATCAACCACCCAACCCCCTGGATGACATCTATGTGGCACGCGTCCAGGTCTATTGTTCAAGGGAAGTCAGCGAGGACTCCACAAGTGCAAACTTTGGAAAAGTACTGTACCTGAACAAATTATGTTTTAATTGTTTAATTAACGGTTGTTGGATGGTGTATCAAATATTCATTCCACGTTTGAAGGGCACCCTTGTTTGTCGCCTTTGATAGAAAACGGTGAAACTTGCAAGCCCTTCAAAGGTTTCAGGACATCTAGCAAATGCAATGGAATATGAGTTCACCTGTCACATAATTTGATAACGGATATGTACAGTATGTTGTACTGGGAAAGGCTTTGACTAGCCCGCTTCTATACAAAATACATGGGAAGTTCACACTTTATAGTCCAGTCATAACTTCTCCTGCTTACCTCCTTGTATTGCTCAGACAGTGACAGGTTGTTGTTGGATATTTGTTTAGACATCAGAGGTAAATCTACCTGCCGTGATGAAGAGGATGATACCCATACCCTATCTGCCTACTGCATAGTGCTTACCCCATGCTTCATCGGCACTTGACTATGGTTCCAGTGATGTGCTCAACTCATCTTATTTCTGCCTCTTCCCCCTACATTCCTCCTCAATGTTCACCGACAACCATGAGACAGCCTATAGGGAGGAGGTCAGAGACCTGGCCGTGTAGTGCCAAGATAACAACCTCTCCCTCAACGTGATCAAGACAAAGGAGATGATTGTGGACTACAGAAAAAGGAGGACCGAGCACGCCCCCATTCTCATCGACAGGGGCTGTAGTGGAGCAGGTTGAGAGCTTCAAGTTCCTTGGTGTCCACATAACCAACAAACTATCATGGTACAAACACACCAAGACAGTCGTGAAGAGGGCACGACAAAATCTATTCCCCCTAAGGAGACTGAAAATATTTGGCATGGGTCCTCAGATCCTCCAAAAGTTCTACAGCTGCAGCATCGAGCGCATACTGACTGGTTGCATCACCGCCTAGTATGGCAACTACTCGGCCTCCGACCACAAGGACACTACAGAGGGCAGTGCGTACGGCCCAGTACATCACTGGTGCCAAGCTTCCTGCCATCCAGGACCTCTATACCAGGCGGTGTCAGAGGAAGGTCCTAAAAATTGCCAAAGATTCCAGCCACCCTAGTCATAGACTGTTCTCTCTGGTACCGCACGGCAAGCGGTACCGGAGCGCCAAGTCTAGGTCCAAAAGTATTTTTAACAGCTTTTACCCCAAGCCATAAGACTCCTGAACAGCTAATCAAATGGCTGCCCAGACTATTTGCATTATCTATGCATAGTCACTTTACCTCTACCCACATGTACATATTACCGCAATTACCTCGACTAACCTGTGCCCCCGCACATTGACTTTGTACCGGTACCCCCTGTATATAGCCTCCCTACTGTTATTTTACTGTTGCTCTTAAGGGCTTGTAAGTAAGCATTTCACTGTAAGGTGAATACCTGTTGTATTCGGCGCATGTGGCAAATACAATTTGATTTGATTTGATTTGAATGTAACGTGGTGTCTTTTTATTACTTATCTCCCACTCTCTCAAGAGAGATCGGGGGGGATCGAGGGCGGAGATATCTAGTTAGCTTCTCTCTCTCTCTATCGACTCTCTCTCTCGATCTATCTAGTACTATAATCTCTTATCTCTCTCCTTCGTCTATCTATTTGTATCTGTCTCTCTCTCTCTCTTTCTCTCTTCTCTCTCTCTCTCTTCTCTCTCTTCCTCTCTTCTCTCTCTTCTCTTCTCTCTATCTCTCTCTCTCTCTCTCTCTTGTCACGTCATCTCCTCTCTCCACATCTCACTATGTCCATGTCACTGCCGGTCCATTCATGGCTAACTGTGTCAGCAGTCGACCCTCTATCTCAAATCAAATCAAATAATCTTCCTCCATGCCTGAGTATGTCTTCTCTCTCTCTCCCCCTCTCTTCACACCTCCCTCCCCCTCTCTTTACACCTCCCTCCCCCTCTCATCATATTTTCTGTATTTTCTGTTCTAGCACTCCAGTCTTAGTGCCACCTCTTTTTTTCTATTATTCACTATTTGCCTGGAAGTCAATGTACTGGGATCCAAGGGTAGACTGCAGCGTAGTGTAGATTGTATTTGACTTCGGGGAACAGGAAGCCCATTTCCCATACTGTACTTTTCAAAATTTCCGGCTGTCAACTTTTCAAATGACTCAGTAGCTAGTACCCATTTCTCCTCTTTTCAGTATCTCAATAATGTTCTCCTCTTTTCAGTATCTCAATAATGTTATCCTCTTTTCAGTATCTCAATAATGTTCTCCTCTTTTCAGTATCTCAATAATGTTATCTCTCTCTCTCACTCAGCCCTCTCTCTCTCTCTCCATCTACCTCCGTCTGTCTCTAGTTGACAAGAGTCCCTGTCACCTGGAGGAGGCTCCGGGGCCGTGTCGAGGTCTGGTGACGCGTTACCTCTTTGACAGCCAGAGCCAGGAGTGCAAGCACTTCTACTACGGAGGCTGCTTCGGCAACGCCAACAACTTCAAGAGTATGAAAGAGTGCCAGGCCAGATGCCAGAACCCAGGTAGTCCGAAAGGGACCAACCCACCTTTCCTTACTAGCACTGACTTTGCTGGACTTTATTGAGGAAAAATGTACTTTCTATGCCTGTGATATGTGGTTGTCTCACCTAGCTATCTTAAGATGAACGCACTAACTAAGTCGCTCTGGATAAGAGAGTCTGCTAAATGACTAACGTGAATGTGCTTGGGGAGAATATTACTTGTCTGATGCCTGAAAAGTTTGCTGTGGGTTCTTAGATAGTCATACCTCTTTGAAAGCCCAAATACTAACTTTTTTGCTGCAGTGCAAATAGGAGATAAGTCATTTCAGTGCAGTTGCCCTGTGGATATTGCACTTACTGGAAAATTATCTTGTTGATGGATTTTTTTTTCCGACCATCAAGTCATTCTTCACCTTCATTTTGCATGAAGATATTTTTTTTTGCCTTTTGAGCATATTCAATTATTTTAGACATAGGCCTGATTTCAAATTTGCTTACATTCATTGACAGCATTTGTCCCAAAAAATACCAATACCAATTTATCTTCATCAATTCTGAGGTGTAATAACTTCTCTATGCTGTATGTTAATATTATAATGCTACTTCCTTGGTGAACAGGTTTTAATAACAGAGTACAGTCGTGGTCAAAAGTTTTGAGAATGACACAAGTATTGGTCTTCACAAAGTTTGCTGCTTCAGTATTTTTAGATATTTTTGTCAGATGTTACTATGGTATACTGAAGTATAATTACAAGCATTCCATAAGTGTCAACTGCTTTTATTGACAATTACATTAAGTTTATGCAAAGAGTCAATATTTGAAGTGTTGACCCTTCTTTTTCAAGACCTCTGCAATCCGCCCTGGCATGCTGTCAATTAACTTCTGGGCCACATCCTGACTGATGGCAGCCCATTCTTGCATAATCAATGCTCGGAGTTTGTCAGAATTTGTGGGGTTTTGTTTGTCCACCCGCCTCTTGAGGATTGACCACAAATTCTCACTGGGATTAAGGTCTGGGGAGTTTCCTGGCCATGGACCCAAAATGTAGATGTTTTGTTCCCCGAGCCACTTAGTTATCACTTTTGCCTTAAGGCAAGGTGCTCCATCATGCTGGAAAAGGCATTGTTCGTCACCAAACTGTTCTTGGATGGTTGGGAGAAGTTGCTCTCGGAGGATGTGTTGGTACCATTCTTTATTCATGGCTGTGTTCTTAGGCAAAATTGTGAATGAGCCCACTCCCTTGGCTGAGAAGCAACCCCACACATGAATGGTCTCAGGATGCTTTACTGTTGGCATGACACAGGACTGATGGTACCGCTCACCTTGTCCTCTCCGGACAAGCTTTTTTACAGATGCCCCAAACAATCGGAAAGGGGATTCATCAGAGAAAATGACTTTACCCCAGTCCTCAACAGTCCAATCCCTGTACCTTTTGCAGAATATCAGTCTGTCCCTGATGTTTTTCCTGGAGAGAAGTGGCTTCCTCGCTGCCCTTCTTGACACCAGGCCATCCTCCAAAAGTCTTCACCTCACTGTGCGTGCAGATGCCACACCTCACTGTGCCTGGTGCCATTCCTGAGCAAGCTCTGCACTGGTGGTGCCCCGATCTCGCAGCTGAATCAACTTTAGCAAACAGTCCTGGCGCTTGCTGGACTTTCTTGGGCACCCTGAAGCATTCTTCACAACAATTGAACCTCTCTCCTTGAAGTTCTTGATGATCCGATAAATGGTTGATTTAGATGCAATCTTACTAGCAGCAATATCTTTGTCTGTGAAGCCCTTTTTGTGCAAATCAATGATGACGGCACGTGTTTCCTTGCAGGTAACCATGGTTAACAGAGGAAGAACAATGGTTTCAAGCACCACCATCCAGTCTGTTATTCTAACTCAATCAGCATGACAGAGTGATCTCCAGCCTTGTTCTCGTCAACACTCTCACCTGTGTTAACGAGATAACCACTGACATGATGTCAGCTGGTCCTTTTGTGGCAGAGCTGAAATGCAGTGGAAATGTGGATTAAAAAGTTCATTTTCATGGCAAAGAGGGACTTTGCAATTAATTGCAATTCATCTGATCACTCTTCATAACATTCTGGAGTATATGCAAATTGCCATCATAAAAACTGAGGCAGCAGACTTTGTGAAAATTAATATTTGTGTCATCCTCAAAACGTTTTGACCACGACTGTAGTACACTGTTTGTATTATAGTACATTTCTGTTACATGCTGTAACTTATTATGGAAGTAAACTCTAACTATGCTTTGGTTTCATGGCAGAAAACGCCACTGTGGCCCTTAAATTGGATGTGGTCCCCTAAATTGGAGGTCACCGTCCCAGAACCCACTAGCCAGCCCAGGGTACAGCCTCTCAAAGTAACTGGTAAGACACCAATGTTTATGTATTTTGAGTTCATGTTTGTATAATCTTTATTTATTCAACAAATGATAGCTCTAGTAATAGATTAAAAAATCTAATTAATTATGCAGTAGCACCAAAAATATCTCAGGTAGGCCTAATCTGATGTAATAAAATGGATGTCTATAAACATAACCATATATTGATGTAATGTTTCAATAATCAGACAAAGTCATTGTTTCATTTGAGCATTAACTTTGCCTGTAGGCCTACTTTTTCCATGATACTGTACACAGCGTCAGCACATTACACTGTTTGCCCAAGCAGCTTTTTATTTCCCCAGCATGCCAGTCAGCCCTTCTGCTTGGCAGGGCCAGGAAAGTGGGGTTGTGGGATCTCTGAAGACCATGAACCACATACACTAAAGTGAAAGGGCTGATATCATGTCAGCTAGCTGTGTTTTAGAGAATTCTGAGGGAAGAAAAGGCTGAGGGAAAAAGTTGTATAGAGATTGTGGTAAATGACACACCATGTAACCCTGTGGATCTGTCAATGCTGGGAACACTACTGTATTGCTACAATCTCTTGGCAGCCCCTTGTGGTGGCGTGATGTATCTCCCTTTAAGTTACCTACAGTATCACAACTACTAATACAGTGAGGCGCTTTGAGCACAGGAATCCAGGAGTGCAGTCATTTGTCATGTGTACTACAGCCAACTACAACAGCTAGGTAAGAGAGAGAGACAGTACATTTACATGCGCTATCTCAGAAATAGTTTAGCTGCTGGTAAACACTACAACGTATAAAGGCAGCATAGCGCCCACCATACCTCCTCCCTTCTCCTCCTTCCACGTGACACTGATTCACTGCTATTAGAATGGGAGTGTACAAGGTATGAGGAGAGAGTTAGTGCTCAGAAACACCACTGTCTGGTAACAGAGGTCACAACGCAGTACAAAGGGGCACAGGGAGTCTTTGGCCATCACTCAGTCACAGACAAGTAGTTATGTCTAAGGAACTGCATCGCAGTGCTAGCTGTGCCACTAGAGATCCTGGTTCGAATCCAGGCTCTGTCGTAGCCGGCCGCGACCGGGAGACCCATGGAGCGGCGCACAATTGGCCCAGCGTCGTCCAGGGTAGGGGAGGGAATGGCCGGCAGGGATGTAACTCATGGCGTTTGCAATGCCAGGTTTGTGGGTTCGATTCCCACGGGGGGCCAGTATGAAAACATAAATAAAAAATGTATGCACTCACTAACTGTAAGTCGCTCTGGATAAGAGCGTCTGCTAAATGACTAAAAATGTAAATGTTAAAATGATTCATGTTACAGAATTCCACCCAGGTCAGTGAATCCAGTTAAGTAGTGTCTCTGTATACGTGGTTGTAATTCCAGTGAAGTGATATAAGAGATCTTTAGCACTCCCTTACCCCAAGGCTGACATTTTGTTGATTTTTTTTCCCCACAGTTTGATGCTTGAGGTTTCCTTTGAAATGGGACATGTACAAAGTAATAGTAGAAGCATCAGAGTCTAGTAGTCACTGTAACAGTAGATTTCCATTAACCTCACATCCAGGCTTTTAGGAAAGTATGTTCTATCAGAACTCCACTGCAGATGTAGCCTAGACACTTACACTGTACATACTAATAAAAGTTGCCTTTGGTACGATGGAGTCATTGTTGTACACCATGACTTGTGTTATTAGCACGTCATTTCATCTTACAATTGCCTCTGTGCGTTTCTTTCAGACTTCAATCCTCCGGACTTCTGTCTCAGTCCCATTGACAAGGGCACAACGTGTGACGGAGAGGAGAGAACTCAGAGGAGATATGTGTACAACCCCAAGACAAAGAGATGTCAGTCGTTGCGCTACAGTGGCTGCGGGGGCAACAAGAACAACTTTGTCCTCAAGAGACGCTGCATGAAGATGTGTATGAAGCCAGGTAAGATCCAAGTTATCTGTTATCTCCAACACCAGCCCTATAGAGGTACCTGGGTTTGCAGGTTTTTGTTCCAGCCCAGCATTAACACACCTGATTCAAAGTTGTATTATTTGAAATAGGTGTGTCTGTACTGTACTTTTGTTCCACCCGTAGGTCTTTCATTTATTTATTTTTAGTCATTTAGCAGAGCGATTTACAGGATTAAGTGCCTTGCTCAAGGGCACATCGACATATTTTTCACCTAGTCGGCTCAGGGATTAGAACCAGCACCCTTCCGGTTACTGGCACAACGCTCTTAACCACTAAGCTACCTGCCGCACATTGAATTAACAGTGTTTTTGCTAATTAACATTTACATTATGCAATGTTCATTTCTAGACTAGTGCCATGGATAAGTGTTAAAAATGACTAATTTGTGCCATTTTGTTCCATTTTCAGATCATCATCACAAAGGGAAGGTCATTCGTATAAAGAAAAAGAACACCAACATCTTATTTCGATCTGTCTGAATAAAGGCTTCGTATTAAACCATTCCTACACACACTACTTTTTCATTCATCTTTATTTATATCATTCTTATTTGACTTTGGTATGTTCTTGTGGTCTTACGGCAGTTGTATAAAAGGCTTGTTTTGACCTATTGTGTAATATTGTATCGCTTATTGTAACCTTTTAACCCTTTTGTAAGAAGATTTGTTTTGTAATATCACCATTTCATACTTTTGTTTTTACTGTCACATACCAAACACAGGTATATAATTGTATTTTTTTTCCTAAGGACAACAGACAAGTTGTTTAATTGACAAATTATGAACATTCATAAACCCAAAAGTACTGCACTGCACATGTAATATCATACAATAAAACACATTATCTGTATCAATTACTGTACATTATCTGTTTAATTATTTTACCCCTTCATGTGAGTAATGTCTTACCATAAAAAAAAACAACATTGCATTTTTTTTAAACCCAGGTGAAAACAACATATCAACAATATCAGCAATCAACCCATTGGAGACTACATTTCATTTGGCATAGTCATCAACATTGCATTTTTGTGCATTCTGTTCCAAGTCCCCTTTCATATTGCAATATGCAGGCTATTGGAATTGACTCCTCTGATAAGTGCATATTTTAGACACATATTTTAGACACATTTTAGGGGGCAGTGTTGTATTATCATGATAGGCTAACGTTTCCATATGGCTTTCACTTGAATGATATATGACCGCAAATGGACAAATTACCTATTGGTTTGTCGGGAATTTCTCTGCAATCATAGCCTACATTTAGATTTGTTATGATAATATGTAATGACCTCGATAGATCATAAATGAGATAATGTCCAAAACAGTTCTCGAATTGAACTGTTTATTGACCCAGAACTCACACAGGCTACTATCTGGCCGTAGCCTACGCCAAATAAATCCGTTATAACAATAACAGGTATTCAACTCACTGTCGGGAAATGAAAAGAGAATTTAACAGACACGTAGTGCCCAGCCTGTGTGTCACTGATGTATGGACATAATAACCAAACAAGGAGGATTAGGCTAATTACTGTACTGTGCTGTTCTTGTCTTGTAATGAACATATCGGGGCTACCGCTGTTCCACCAACCACAAGGGCGCCTGGCACTGACACATTCCAGGCGTTGACGGCAGGGGTACTGGCATGCTGAACCCCGCCAAACCCAAAAATAAACGGATAAACGTGCCCTGATAACCACACAACAATAGAGAATCAGAACACAGGCACATAGATGTTGCTACAGTATACATACGGTACATCTCATCCAGGTAACTGGCAAAATAAAGGAAACACCAACATAAAGTGTCTTAGTAGGGCGTTGGGCCACCACGAGCCAGAACAGCTTCAATACTCCTTGGCATAGATTATAGTGTCTGCAACTCTATTGAAGGGATGCAACACCATTCTTCCACGAGAAATACCATAATTTGGTGTTTTGTTGATGGTGGTGGAAAACGCTGTTTCAGGCGCACTCCAGAATCTCCCATAAGTGTTGAATAGGGTCTGGTGACTGAGACGGCCATGGCATATGGCTTACATCGTTTTCATGCTCATCAAACCATTCAGTAAACACTCGTGCCCTGTGGATGGGGGCGTTGTCATCCTATGGGGGCATAGCAATGGTAGCCAAAATAATGGCCAAAAGTATGGCCTACCCAGCATTTTTTACATAAGACCCTAAGCATGATGGGATGTTAATTGCTTAATTAAATCAGGAACCACACCTGTGTGGAAGCACCTGCTTTCAATATACTTTGTATCCCTCATTTAGTCAAGTGTTTCAATGATTTGGGCAGTTACCTGTATGTCAGTCAGTTTACCTACTTATGATAAAGCCTATGGGATAAACCAAGTCTAATAATGAGATGAACACACACAGGTTTGTTATGCATAGGCCTATATGCAGGTAGACATATTGAGAAGTGTGACAAGTGACAGCACTTGCTTCTTCCATATGAGAAGACATCAAATGGCGGGAATGTTGCTCTCATTTAGAACCAGGCCCAATGTTTACAGCCAATGCATTGGATCAAACTTTGCTGATGGAATAGTTGAAACAATGCAGAGCACTCACCAACGAATGTGGTCAACATGCTACCTTTAATTTTTAAAAGCATTTAATGTCGGCATTCGGCCATTTCTGCGTTCATCGTGGATAGGTCTTATCAGGGATGGGCAACTGGTGGGGACCCACTTTTGAAGGCCCGCGGATCAATTTTCAAAGACATTAAAAGGCAAGGTGGGCGACACAAAATTTCGCTTAGGGCCCGCAGAAGGCTAGGGCCGGCTCTGACTACATGTGTGGGTATGGATGTGCGTATGCAGATGCGCGAGCCACTGCGGCCCCCTCATGATGAGTTCAGATGTTTTGTGTCCCCCACCCCTATCAAAGTTGCCAATCCCTCGTATATATCTTGCCGTCTGCGTCCATTGCTCGTGATTGATAAAAACTTGGTGTGTTCTCCTGAAGAGTTGTAGATTAATTCGTGATGTAACAGGAAGTAGGCTAATGTGAATGCCTCCCACAAGCTGACAGCGGCTCCAGTCCGACACTTTATGCATTGAGTGTTGAAACCCTTTGGGTTTGGTTCACTACCATTGCTGCGGAGGTTGCGTTTGGGCAAGTAAAAGCTGTCGCTGGAGTGATTGGTCGGTTTATGTGACTTTCTAAATCGCGTTGGCATTGGATTGTGAACTATTCGCATCAGGTAAGAACCATTCGAATAGCGTATTAATAATGGCCATATTTACGATCTGGTTGAGGATTACTATTTTATTTTTCCAGTTTTATCGATGCATATGTGCTTTGCTTTTCGTTTTCTTAAATCAATAGCCTATAAATATCAAATTCAAGATCATGATAATCGGAAAGAGTCAGTTGTAATGAGCTGCATTTCTGTCGGGTAAATGTAGACTTGAAACTGGCTTTTTAAAGCTACCTGGATAGCACTGTCAACAGGGATAGCAATAGCCTATTCCTTGTAGTCCTCCAAAAACAATTGCGCACCGCAGATAATTTGCACTATTTTGCATAATTCCATGGAGAAATTAGAATATTGGCGAGGTGGTAGCATATGGAAGAAGAAGACCCCCAATTGTGTCAATAACGAGGCTATATATATATATATATATATATATATATATATATATATATATATATACTGACAGGGAGTCATCATACAATCATTGGTAAAAGCCTATGCATACTTAATCAGTAATTTAGGTTAGTGTTTCACCGATTTGTTTGATCTTTGACAAGGGTTTTCATTTGAAAGGGTTTGAAAGGATTGGAAAATAAAACAAATGCAAGGTAGCCTATAAGTAAGTTTGTGCTGCAACATGCTACATAACATGTTTATAAGGAAGACAACACCTGCAATATTACATTTTTATTAACTCTCAGTCCCCATCCAGTGATGCGTTTTTACAACCTTATATAACCTTTCCAAACTTTAGGATACAATGGAACCTAAGTGTTAGGCTACCCACATTTACATGTTAGGGCACTGATGTGGTGGGTAGGTAACCTATAAATCATACATTACCATGATGACCATGTTAGTGCAAAACAAAAAGGATTCCCTGGGCATTCTACAAGTTTACATATGTCATATTACTGTTTGACAATGAGTTGACTGGATAGTTATTATTTTTGGCCTGAACATTGAGTTTAAAGAATGATCATTATTGTATCACAGATAGCCATCTTGTTACTGTCTTCAGATTCAAGGAAAATGTGTTTTTTTTTCACAGAAACCGATAGGTTTGAAGCAGCACTATATTAATAAAAACATTATTTAAAAAAAAAACAGACATGAAAGAATAAGCATGGTGCCTTTTTACATGTCATGGCACATCCAGTTGAACTGATTTCTACTGACAGCATTGTAGTGTAAATATGCCCGCTCTCCTCAGTCATGTGGTATACCCCAACACTGGCATTTGGCACCAGCGCTATCTCAAGTTGTTGATGAATCCTCTGCATGGTTATGTAAGCCACCGATTGGAAATGATGAAATGTTTTGGGGGCAGCTAGAGGGAAGAACATGATGAATATGATGATGATGATGATGGTGAGGATGATGATGATGGTTATGATCACATTTGGCTATGATGCGATGAGAAAGGTAGAGATATTACTCCCTAGATGTACAAACCAAGTACTATATAACATTCAAGTCCATCGGGACCATTTAGACATTTTAAAACCTTTCCAGATGCATTTTGCTGACACCATTATTTCTCCTCTGCCCCCTTAACATCCATAGTTTGCACCCTTTTAACTCACATTCTCACGAGTCGAATTACATATTTAACGTCCACAATAACCCACCGCCATGAAAACCCCCCTGATATGAAGCAAAATATTATTGCTTCGCTCAACATTTATGAAATCCTTCATGATTTGTATGTGTTCCATTTAAATGCTGAGGTTAAAGATGGCCGATACACCGTGTGGCCTGGAGATATAGGATAGCAGGAGAGTGTTTTTTCGAACTGACTGAATACCCAATGGGAAGCAGGCGTGTCTAATAAGTCTACAAGGATTTTGCTCTCAAAATCCTCAATGGCCAAGTGTTCACAGTAAATATATGAGCTCATATAGGAAAGGAACCCAGACATTATTTTGTGTGGGGAGTATTTGTGTTGAGCTGTAAAGCATTGGATTTGGATTCCTCCCCCCGAGCAGTCCTATGGAGTGGGTGTTGCAGGCTGACTCCAAATGGGATATTAAATGTTAGTGTAACAAAGGTGCCTGCGTGACTTGGTGACAATGCCTCGAGAAGCTCAGTCATCTACATGGCACAGAGTATGCCTAGGCTGAGGCATCCAGAAGAGTCAACAAGGAGAACATGTTGAAGATGGAAAATGTGTTTGTTTTTCTGTATTTCAGATCAGTTAAGCTCAGCCGTTATCGTCTGTCTAGGGATTCACATTACATGTTGATGTAGTTCTGTCCTTGAGCTGTTCT